AGTTCTAGCAAATTATTTATCCTTGTGGGAGGATGTAGGAACCCCCAGTTTATAGCTAAATCGGACAGAAATGTGAGTAACCTGGGGACCTAATATTTGCCATTGGCATCCGATATAAGGGCAATCTTTTGGGACTGAGATCTTAAACCTATGGAGTCTGACACGAACTCCAGGCAGTCAGGGTTAGAACTGAAATGAATTGTAGAACACCTAGTTGGTATCCAGAGAATTGGAGAATTGGTTGGTATAGAGAAATTACCCACACATTGTCAAAAGTGTTGTCGAGATGCTGGCGAGGATGTGGAGAAATGGGCACCCTCCTACACTGTTGGTGGGAATGTAAACTGGTACAGCCCCTCTGGAAAACAGTGTGGAGGTTCCTCAAAAAAATAACAATAGAACTCCCCTAAGACCCAGCAATAGCACTGCTAGGAATTTATCCAAGGGATATAGAAATGCTGAGGCATAGGAGCACATGTACCCCAATGTTCATAGCAGCACTCTCAACAATAGCCAAACCATGGAAAGAGCCTAAGTGTCCATCAACGGATGAATGGATCAAGAAGATGTGGTTTATCTATACAATGGAATACTACATGGCAATGAGGAAAAAAATGAAATCTGGCCTTGTGTAGCAACATGGATGGACCTTGAGGGTGTTATGCTGAGCGAAATAAGTCAGGCAGAGGACAAATATATGTTTGCACATATAGGAGGATTAGGAGGAACTTAACGGAGGACCATGGGGGAGAAGAAGGGGGGAAATAGTGAGGGAAAGGGGGAGAGGCAAACCATGAGAGACTCTTGAATGCTGACAAAAACTGAGGACTGATGGATGAGGGGGGTGGGCACGGAGATGGGCACTTGTGGGGATGAGCACTGGGTATTATATGGAAACCAACTTGACAATAAACTATTTGTAAAAAAAAAAAAGTGTCAAAAGTGTTGTAAGTAAAAACAGTCCAAGTATAGTGAATACTGTAGAGATAAATTTAAGGAAACAATTCCATCTACAACACCATCAAATAGAATAAAATACTTAGGAATAAATTGAACAGAAAAAGCATAATGCTTGTACAGTGGAAACTACAAAAACATGAAGAGAAATTCTGCAAGATCAAAATTAAGGGAAAGACATTTCATATTCATGGATCTGAAGACTTCATATTAAGGTGTTAATACTCCAGTATGGTAATGGTAATACAAATTCAACAATCTTTACCAACCTCCCCCTACCTTTTCTGCAGAAATCGATAGGCTGGTCTTAAAATTCATATGGAAACGCAAGAGAACCTGAAAAGCCCAAACAATCTTGAAAAGGAAGAACAAAGCTGGATGTCACACTTCCTGATTTCTACAAAACTAAAGAAATCAAGATTGTGTGGTGCTGGCAGAAGGACAGACAAATCTATCAATGAAATAGAACTGAGAGTCCAGAAATAAACACATATGGTTTAAGGAACTGATTTTCAACAAGGGTGCCAAGAGCTTCAATAGGGAAAGAGGAGGCTTAGCAAGTGGTGATGGAACAACGGGACAGCCATGCGCAAATGAACAAAGTTGCATCCTTACCCCACCCCACATACAGAATATACTCCAAGTGGATTAGAGACCTAAACTTAAAGGTGAACACTATAAAACGATGAGAATAAAGCACACAGCTATACATCCTCATGACCTTGGATTCAGCAATGGTTTCTTGGCTAGAATGCTGAAAGCACAAGAAACCAAAGAAAACACAGATAAACTTCTCAAAGTTAATAACATTATGTGTTTTTTGAAAATATCAGGAAAAATGAAAAGATAACCCCCAGAATAGGAAAAAAAAAAATTTGCAAGTCATATATATGGTAAGGGTGTGATAACCAGAATATGAAAAGGACCTTGGCAACCCAACAAAAAAAGCAAACAACCAGATTTATGAGCAAAATACCTGAATAACCATTTCTCCAAAGATATACAAATGTCCAATAAGCACATGGAAAGATGCTCAACACAGTCTGTCATCAGGGAAATGCTAACCAAAACCAAAGTAAGCTACCACTTCACACCCATCAGGATGGCTGGGAGACAAGTATTGGTGAGGTGGTGGGGAAACAAGGGTAATATAAAATGGTGTGGCATTGTTGAAAACAGTCCCTCAAAATGTAAACATACTTATCAACCCAGCAATTCCACTCCCAGAAATAGATCCAAAAAGTGAACACACACACACACACACAAACATGTGCACCAATGTTCACAGCAGCACTATTCATGATGGGCAAAAAGTGCAAATAACCCAAATGCCCATAAAGATGAATGGATAAGCAAAATGTGGTCTCTCTATGCAGTGGAATATTATTCAGCCTTTAAAAGGAAGAAAATTCTGACAGATGCTACAAGATAGATGAAACTTGAAGACATTATACTAAGAGAAATGAGCCAGACACAAAAGGGCAAATACTGCATGATTCCACGTAGGAATCTAGAGCCACCTAGAGTAGTCCAATGCAGAGACAGAAAGTAGAATGGTGGGTGCCCAGTGGCTGAGGGAAGAGAATAGGGAGTCAGCGTTTTATGGGTGCAGAATCTCAGGTGGGGAAGATGAAAGTTCTGGGCAGTGGGGATACTTGCACAAAAGTGTGATTGTACTTAATGCCACTCAACTATACATTTCCAAATGGTTAAATTTATCTATTTATGTATTTATTTTAACACACACACACACACACACACACACACACACACGAAGATTGGATTGGCTCCTGGGCCAGAAAAAAAATTACCATGTAGGAATATTGCTGGGATCATTGACAAAAATTGAATATGGACTGTAAATCAGATAACAGTATTGAATCACTGTTAAAATTTTCCTCATACTGATAAATGTGCTATGGATATGGAAAAGAATTTCCTTTTTAGGAGATATTCACTGAAGTATTTCCGGGTAAAAAAAGGGCATGATGCATGCAAGTTACTCTCAAATGATGCTGGCAGAGGGTGGAGACACACATAGACACACACAGAAGAGAATATAATAAAGCCAAATGTTAACAACTGGAGAGTCTGGGTGACCTCTTTGTATAGTTCTTACACCTTTATTTTAAGTCTGAAATCGTTTCAAAGTTAGTAGTTTTAAAAAATTAAGAGATCTAAAACAAAACTCTGGTCTCTTGCCAAACCCTGTAGCTCCTTCCACAGCCAAGCTGTCTTATTAAGTGGCAGCTCTCTCTCCCCCATAGCCAAGCCAAACTCCTTGGGAGTCATCCTTGACTTTTCTCTTTCACATACATTCCAATACATGTGCAAATCCTACTGGATCAAACTTCAAAAATCTCCCGAACCCCACCCCTTCTCCCCAGCTCCCCAGCTACCATGCTAGTCTGAGCACATCATCTTGCTGAAAAGCTCCTCACTGGCCACCCAGAGGGATTCAGTTAAAACATAAGCCAGATCATGTCACCCTTCTGCTCAGAACTCTGATGTCTCATGGTGGCCTACAAGGAGCCCCAGGCTAGGTCTAGGTCCCCACTGCTTCTCAGACCTCATCTCCCACCACTCACCACCCACTCCCTCCCCACAGTCACACTGCCTCTGGCTGCTCCTAGACCAGGAGCTGGGCAAAATCCCCCTACCTGCCTCCAACACTCACTGGACATGGGTCACTCTGTCACCGCTGCAGGTTGGCCCAAATGTCACTTCCCTGGAGGTACCCCCAATTCACATCTGTTTCTTTCTCTTTCTGGTCCCTCTGCTTTATTCTCCTTCAGGAAGCTCATTTCTCTCTCCAAGCCATGTATGTAGCAGCTACTCATTCACTCAAGAACAAATGTTTCCCTAGTGTGATTACTTAAGTTCATTGCTGTTTCCCCAGCACATTGCCTTGCAGGTAATAAGGTGTCAGTTAATATTTACAGAATAAGGTGTTGGAAGGTTCCCTCCAGAAGGTCTGTGTTGGTTCAAAATGGGGCCAGGAGAGGGGTGCCTGGGTGGCTCAGCCAACTGACCATCCAACTTTAGCTCAGGTCATGATCTCACAGTCTATGGGTTCGTGCCGCACATCAGGCTCTGTGCTGACAGCTGAGCCTGGAGCCTGCTTCAGATTCTGTCTCCCTCCCTCTCTCTCTCTCTCTGCCCCTCCCCCACTCGTGCTCTCTCTTTAAAATAAATAAAACATTTAAAAAAGGTGGGCGGGGGGAGCAGGAGAGAAAGCTGGGCTGGCATCCAGGAGGGTATAGTGTTCCTTCAGGAGTCAGAATAATGGGCAGGACCTGATGCACTATGGGGGAGGGGATGGGTCTATCCTCTCAGACTCCCTCCTCCCACTAAGGCCAACAAGAGCAGGAAAGGGGTACTGCCGCCATGAGGCCTTGAGGATGCACCCATGCTCCTCCAGCCCCTTCCCCTCTCGCTGGCTCCCAGGGTGCTACTTGGCACTTTCTTGCCACTCTTTTCACTGAATCTTCACCACGGCCCTCCCATTTTACAGGAAACTGAGGACAGCTAGAGAGTGATGTCGCTGAGGTGAGCTGTCCCTGGTACAGTCCTACCCAAACCCCAGGTGAAGCACCCACACCAGCGGGGCCTGACTGGTGACCTTTTCATGTATGGGTGGCCGGGCTGTCTGAGACGCCTCTTCTTTCAGACTGGGAAAAAAGCCATACTTGGCTTGGTGGAAGGAAGCCCTCCCACGGGAATGGGCCGGGCAGCGGGGCCTTGGGGGGAAAGATGGGAATAAGATCTGAGAACTGGAGACCCTGGATATTCTGCCTGTCTCACTAGAGAGGAAGGGAGAGCCCAGATAAATCCCCCCTCCCCTGATAATCAGAGGAGAGTGGGCCCACCGGTCCCCTGCATCACCTCCGGGTATCACGTCCCAAGCCTACTCTGGGACGGCGCACCGCCTCCAGCCTGTGGGTCAAAGCCAAATAAGGCCGTGCGGGTGCGCCGCCCCGCCCCACCCCTCCGCGCACGCATTCTTCTGCCTTGTAAGGCTGGCGCCGCCCCGCCCACCGAGCCCGGAGCCTGGCCCGACGGCCCGCGCCCCGCACTGGCTCGGCGCAGGGAGCAAGCACCTTCTTCGCACCAGGTGGGAGTCGCGGCCGCGAGGGGCTAGAGTAGGCAGTGTGAGGCCCCACGGACGGGGACGCTAGGATCTCGGCAAGGACAGCCCTCATGGGGCTGGGGCTGCGAGTTGAGGGTCACACCGGACTCTGGCCCGGGGCTGGGCAGCTGGGAAACTGTTCTAGGCTCTGGGAGCCGGTGGTCTTTCGGTGAGGGAACACTGTCCAGGCCCTGCCCGTTTGCAGTGGAGTTTCAGACGCTAAGCCCAGAGCTCTGGGGTGCCCAGAAGGAGTTGAGGTCACTGTGTTCCCTGCCCCAGGAAACCGACAGGCTCCTTGAGACCTCCTCCAGAGCATCCGTGTCCTGGGGCAGGAGAGAGGGATGAGACTAGGGTAACCCCACCCCATACACACCAACGCTGTGTGCGAGCACTTGAGACTTTCGTGCACTGGGCCCTCTGTCCAGCTGTGCCTGTTGGGTGGGGAGGGTCTGCCAAAGGGCTCTGGGGGATAGACAGGGACCTGGGCCAGGGGACCTCGGTCCCTGCTGCTCCTCCCCAGCCTTCTAACTGCTCTGAGGAAGGGGTCAGATCACTCAGCCAGACAGGAGGTGAATTTACCAGCAAGGCATCTGGCACTGCCAGCCATAGGAACCAAGAGATAAAGGGGGACACAGGCCTTGCCTTTGCTGTAAGTGGGGGATTTCAGGCACCAGAAGGGGGGAGATGGCACCTAGTTGCAGCCAAATACCAGTTATATCTGATCCCTAGTGTCTAGGACCCCCAGGAGCAGGCTCCAGGGCTAAGGGACTAGCCTATCCTGACCCCGTTTCCTCAACCAAGCCTATAAACTGTCTCTAGTCACACAGAACCCTGAGCTGCAGAAGGCCCACCAAGAGCCTCTTAGGCTATGTGTTTCCTTCTGTGTTCAGTCATCAAGGGCACCAAGGGCTGGTCATTACCACCCACTGACCCAAGCCTACCCCAAGCGTCCTGGCTGCCATTGGACTCTACCCCCTTCATGGGCACAACACTTCCCTTCTTGGGCATCAGGTCTTAACTGCACAGCACGGGGGGGGGGGGGGGGGAGGGCACCTCACCCTGATTCCCAAGGTTGCTGGGATGGACAAACCCTAAAGTTCGGCCATATCATGGCCCTTGGATAGAAGAGGATGAAAAAGGGGAAGCCACAGAGACAGAAGGGCCCAGCCAGTATCACAGCAGTGGGTGAGATCTTAGCCACTCCTGCCTCTGACCGTGGCTTCCTCTCTCCTCCTGGCCACATCTGCATAGATCTTTGCAGACGGGAGGGCTGTGGCAACAGTGATGATGACCATCACAGCCCCTCATAAGAGAGGGCTACTTCTTCGCTACCTTCTATGGGTTCTGTAAGTCAAAGTTCCCAGAGAACAGTGGGCTCCAGGAAGGACTGGGCCCCTCAGAGCACTAAAGCCCTGCTGATGCCACCATCCCACTCCCGCCCAGCTAATGGGTGAGAAGGGCTTCTGTCTACCCACCTGAACCATGTGAGAAACACCCAGGGCCAGGTGTGTTGGTCCAGCAGGACACAGCAGCAGTGTGTCATGACTTCAGGTGGCTGTGGCCCTGGGGAAGGGTTGGGGCTGGCCAGGATCCCTGCTCAGCATTTAAGATCTCAAAGACTAAAGTCCAAGAATGACTAGAACAGGGTCATGGGATAGAGGCCAACAGACAGCTTGAAGGGCATTCATAACCAACCACACAATTTGGGGCTAAAAACAGGCAGAGAAGGCTTTCTGGATGCAGGCCCTGTACCACAGGCTCAAGGAAGAGGAGACAGGCAGACAGTGGTCCTAAGTCCTCAGCCCCAGCTGCAGGGCACACTGCACTAGGTCTTCAGGGGCACAGTACCCACAAACCATGACAAGGGTTGAGGGAAAGAACACCATGCTGTGCCTCAGTCTCCCCATCTGTACAGTAGAAGTAGACTGGCTATAGTTGCGATCACAGCATTAATTAAACAAGCATCTATTAGCCTCTTAGTACATCAGGGGAGGGAGGGAGAGAGAGACCTCTAGGTGCTTACTGTCAAAGCAAGGGTCAGGGACCTGCTCCCCAAGGAGGTGTCTCAAGAACTAGGCTTAAAAAGGAAGGGTGTTCAGCAAGAGGGACCAAGGAGGAAAGTCTGAGGCTGTCTGGGGAACATCCAGAGGTCCAGCACGGCTGGGGCATGGATGGCAAAAGGGACACAGTGAGGGTTGCCATGGTCAGTCAGACAAGGGTTGGAGGGGTTCACACAAGACCTTGAATGCCAGGCTCAGGGGCCCAGACCTGTTCCCCAAGGGGAGACAGAAACCTTCGAGCACTTCAAGGTGAAGTGACAGCTGGTGCAGGTCTAGATCTATATGGGATGGGAGAGACTGGCTAGAGGCCAGGAGACCAGGTCTAAACAAGGGTGACAAGAAGCTGGGGCTCTCAGTCTGGAGGAGCCTCATGCCCCTATAAGCACCAAGGAATAAGAACAAGGAGTAGGGCCCAAATCAGGTCTGTCATCCACCCAAGGGGCTGATCAAGTATGGGCAAGCTGGGGGAGGGGACACCTGCCCAGAACACAGGGCTTCTAGAACATCCAGAGCAGGGAGCACAGAGGGATAGGGAGGAGGAAGGAGGAGGAAAGGAGAGGACAGGAATGTAGGGAATGCAGGGCTGCTGATCCAGCTCCTTACTGCTGGGAGCAGGAGGAGCTGGCAGGGAGCCTCACAACCTCCCACATTTCAACCCACCTTGTCATTTGGAGGGAGAGAGATGGAGAGTGTAAATGCTATTAAGGATTAAAAGAGATAAAGCAAGAACAGATTGGCACTGAACCCAATCCTAAATGTCTTACCCAAACAGCCACAGCAAAAATAGCTTACTCTGCCTGGCACCATTCCAGGGGCTTCTCAGGCACTAAATCACTGATTCCTTACTGCTGGGCATTCCTCATGTCCTCATTCCCAAATGAAGAAACTCACTGGGAGAGGTAGAGAAGTTGTTTATCATCACACAGAGCCCACGCCTGTCTGCTTTTGTGATGAGCTGGGTGACAGGAGCCCCAAGCCTGTGGGAGGCCTTGAATGCCAGGCCCAAGCACTGACAGCTGGTCTAGGGTAGGCAGAAAGATTCCCTGGCCCAGGGTCATAAGCTCTTCCCCTGACACCCACTTTCTGCAGGGAAGCCCCACCCACCTGAAGCCAAGATGTCCAGCAAGCGGGCCAAGGCCAAAACCACCAAGAAGCGGCCACAGAGAGCCACATCCAATGTCTTTGCAATGTTTGACCAGTCCCAGATCCAGGAGTTTAAGGAGGCCTTCAATATGATCGACCAGAACCGAGATGGCTTCATTGATAAGGAGGACTTGCATGACATGCTGGCCTCGCTGGGTGAGCAGGGATGGGGGTGGCTGGGGTCTAAGTGAGCCTACCAAGTGTTGCAACTGAAGTAGGTGTGGGGCTGCTCTTCATTATAGACTACTTCCCATGTAGTAACATGTGGAGAGCAGATGCCATTACCTGGTGCCATTCTCCATTTAAGAGACAGGGAAACTGAGGCACAGAGCAATTCGACATTGGATCTGAACCCAGACAGGCTCACTTTAGAGCAGTGCTGCCTCAGGCAGATTTGTGGTTGGGCTGCCTGGTATCACTTCATTTAAAGCAAAGGATCAGCAACTAAAGAAAGTTTCTAACTACACAGACTTTCCATTGCACAGATGGGGAAACTGAGGCCAGAGCACCTCCCCTTCTTCATAAGTCACCCATGCCAGGCTCTTAGAGCCTCCCTGACTCCAGCAACTTCCTTTGAATCAAAATCTTAGAGCTGAAAGGGCTCAGGAACATAGTACAACTCACCGCTGCTCAGATAGGGAAACTACTGCCCAGAGGCCAGGCCTCCAGATACCACCCCCTAGTCTGTGGTCCTGCCCCCAAATCCTTCCCATGTGCTAGCCACAAACACTACTCTCAGCATCAGTTCCTGGCACCTCCTTCATCCAGGTGAGAGTGCCACGGCCTCTGGCAGTGGAGGAGGCAGTCTCTGGCATTGCCCCTCACAGCTGGGCAGCCCTGCTCTGAGCCCATTTCCCTTCCTGTGCAATGGCTACTGTGGCCCTTGTGTACATGCCCGGGGTGTCTAGGGGGGGACTGGGTAACCCTGAGTCGGAGGGCTGACATTGGACACTGCCCCTCTGCCCTGGGCATCTACCCAGAAAAACCTGCATTCCTGTTTGTAGCTCATGTTGGTGGGGCCCAGGTCAGTCTTGGCCTTCTGGTTAAGAACATCATCCTCCAGTTTAAAAATAAGAGAAGCAAATAAAAGAAGAAGCTGTGCACGTGTCTTAAATCTCAAAGCAATCCTACTGGGTAGATGTGATTATCAGTACCACTTTATAAATGAGGAAACAAAGGTTCAGAGAGGTTAAATAATTTGCCCAATGTCACCCAGCAACTATGTAGTAGAGCTGGGATTTGAACCCAGCAGTTGATTTGAGTCCATGGGGCCATGCCAATTGTTCTGTGTGATTCTACAACCACTGGTGCTGCTTCACAGTTCTTGTAAGACACAGGGGAAAACAAGGCACAGAACTGGGATTCAGACTCCAGTCTTTGTGACACCACAGCTCACTGGTTTAACCATTTTCGACATTGTACCTAGAATCTGGCGACAAGCTGACTGGGTTCCAATGCTGGCTCCACTCCTTACTTGCTGTGTGACCTTGGATAAGTCACCTCGCCTCTGTGCTTCAGGTCCCACACCTGTGAGGTTGGGGTGAGCATGCTTACCTCACAGCATGGTGAAAGTTAAAGTAGTCAGGCACATGGGGCAGAAGACACCATGGGCAGTCAGCAAATGGTGGCTCCTACACTTAAGAGGTCACGGATATCAAGACCAGAAGTGGAAGCTGGTCAAGGGCAACCTGGAGAGCGTGGGGGAGGGAGCAGTCACAAAGTGGGTTGCCCCAGCAAGATACTCTACAATTTACAAAACGTATGATCTCCTGCGTATGGGACTCTCACAGGCCACAAAGGGAGGGGACAGGGAGGTAGGTGGGGACAGGGCAGTGACAGCAGGCATGAATGTCCCCCTGCCATAGGGAAGAACCCCACAGATGAGTACCTGGAGGGCATGATGAGCGAGGCCCCGGGGCCCATCAACTTCACCATGTTTCTCACCATGTTTGGGGAGAAGCTGAATGGCACAGACCCCGAGGACGTGATCCGAAACGCCTTCGCCTGCTTCGACGAGGAGGCCTCAGGTCAGCCGCCTGGACAGGGCCGGGACTGAGCACTTCACCCAGGGTGCCCCCAGGGAGGCAAGTGGGGCTGGGCTGTAAGTGGGGCTGTGCTGTGCTGAGACTTGTACCCAAAGGTCAGAACGGAAATCCCCATCTGCCGCTTTACACGGCCAGACTATAAAAACCACGCCCTGTCCTTGTTCCCTCCCCCAGATGCTAGACCACAACAGCCCACATCCACCAAGACATCCTACTTCTTGACTTCACCTGTTGGCCCAGCCACTCCCCCTGCTTTAGACCTTCCAGAAACCAAATTATTCTAGGCCCTTCTGGCCAAAGAGGTACAGAAACCAGCCCCCGTCCTCAAATCTTCCAAAGGGCTTGTGTCCCACAGCTAGTTTTTCCCAGACACAGGCCAGGAGGATGCTGGCAGCAGTGACTTCAGTAATTTCTCAGGGGCCACAGGCCCAAGTACATTCACATTTTCCAGACTACCTTCATAATCCCCTACCAGGGTGGTGGCATAGCTTCATCTCCAATTTCCAGGTCAAACAGGCACCGAGAGGTTAAAGACCTTGCTCATGGTCACACAGCCAGAAAGAAGGGGAGGAGCATGCAAACTTAGGCAGTGGAACTCTAGGGCTCATGCTCTTAAAGTGAGACATACCCAGCCCCCACACTCACAGCCCCAGGTACCCCACCAAAACACTGCAGAACCCCTCCCTCTGGGGCTCTGGGGAGCTTCAACTGGCTGGAGGCCAGGGCTGTGTCTTTTCCTGGTCCCTCCCGCACTGCAAGGGCTGCAAGGATGGGGCAGGGAGGTGGTGGGCTCAGGGTAGGGGTGTCGGGCATGTCCCAGCAGAGTCCTTGTCTCATGGACCCTGGCCCTGCCCCCAGGTTTTATCCATGAGGACCACCTACGGGAGCTGCTCACCACCATGGGCGACCGCTTCACAGACGAGGAAGTGGATGAGATGTACCGAGAGGCCCCCATAGATAAGAAAGGCAACTTCAACTATGTGGAGTTCACCCGCATCCTCAAGCATGGTGCCAAGGACAAGGACGACTAGGCCGCCCCAGGCCCCTATCCCACTCACCTGCTCCCCACCCTCACTGTACACCAGCTCCATGCCCGTGACCCCACAGGACCCTCTCAGGGGACCCTCCCTCTGAGGGGCTAGGGGTCCAGCTCGCAGTGGAAAAACAGGCTGAGAGCACGCAGTGCCCGGTAAAGGGCACACAGCCAATGTGAGGCAGGTGTTGCACCATGACCCTCCGAAAGAGGACCGTCTTCTAGAGAGCTGGGCCTCATGGGCTTTTCCCCACAGGACAGGCCCCGTGTCCTGTCTGGGATACAACTTCCCGTGCACCCCCATGTAGGGCATGTAGCTCTTTCCCAGACACTGCCAGAAACACAAACCTCACCAAGGTCCATCCTCTGAGGACAGGATGCCAGACCCCTCCTTTGTGCCCTGCCCAGCCACCAGAACACAGCCCACCCCACCGGGAGTGTGATCCAGAAGAAGCATGTAAGCTGGATATTTGATCCAGGGGAGGCAGAATCTCTAATAGAAGCCTGAGCACTGCTTTGGGTCTGTGTGTCTGCTGCTGTGCTGCTGGGGTAACATAAAGAAGTTCCTAATCCCTAAACACCCTCCTGCCCTCTCCCGTCCCCAGTGGCTGCCCAGACCCCTACCTTCCCCTGGCCAGGGGAAAACTCAGCTGAGACCAGATTAGAGTGGGGAGCAGACAGAGGTGCTGAGGGAAACAGTCCTTCTGGGAGGGAGAGGGTCAAGTGGGGAGGACCCACAGGAATCACCACAGCATAATCTCGGGGGATTCTGCGGCACCGGGAGATCAGGGGTCAAGGTCGCCCAGTCTTCAGGACTACAGTCTGGATGGCCAGGGACATCTCAATGTTCCTGGAAAGCCAGATGGTCCTGGAAGAACAGGGAGGCTTTGGGAACAGTGAGAAGAGTACATTCCAGTAGGTCCGAGGTGAAGGTGGGAATGAACAGGCTTAAGGGATTCCCTGAGGTCAGCTCTAGGCAGCCACCAGGTATGCTCTGGGTTGTGCCCTCTGTACCCGAAGGGTCAGTTCAGCCACAAGACCGGCTTTTTATATCCCACATGCACACAAGGTAAATGATGGGGACACTGACAACAGCGCCTAGTGCTTAAGGAACAGAAATACTGGTTGAATGAACAGATAGCCAAGAGGGGCAAGGACTGTCTGAGGTCACCCAATGGATCTGGAGCATAGGGAGGGCTGGACCCCAGCCTCTAGATCCTCCATAGGGCGCACACCTGGGCTAGACACATCCCACCTGACCCCAGCAAAGGTCGGGGAACAGCTGCTGGCCTGGCTTGACCTGACACCTCCCTAAAGATCACCCACAGCCAGCCAGCCACAGTACACAGCAAAGGTCCGAGATCAGAGCCAAGGGAGTGCTTAGCACTAAGAGGACTGTGTGCTGGCCGAGGAGGGTCTAACTTCCCACAAGCCTCTGCCCCACCTCAGGACCAGGCCCCTCCCAGTCAGGCCCTGGTCAGAGCCCCATGAAACTACCCCTCTCTGGCCTTGAAACTGAGCCCCACAAGTCCCTGATCTCCACTCCGGATGGAGCCAGCTGCAAACAGGTTCTGACCAGGCCCAGATGCTGTCACAGACTCAGTGGACCATGCTCTTGATCCTGGCCATAGATGGAGGGGCTTTAGCCTGACTACCTGCTCACTGCAGCTAGTCCCAAGGGAGGGGGCAGGCTCTGGGGATCCTCCCGGGACTCCAGGGTCACAGGTCATTCTGTAGAGTCACTATGGCACCAAAAGCTTTTCTGGAAGGCAGGGATGTGGTTAGAAACAAGCTTCATTGGACTCTGCACCCCCATTTGCAATCTTGTCATAAGTCTACTCCCCCTTCATCCCAGAGAGAGGAAAAGATTCACACCTGCTGTGGGGGGACAGAACCCATCCAGCCTCACTGGCTTCCGAGCTGGCCTGAGGCTGACCTGATGGGATCCAGAGGATGGGACAAGGTAAGTGTTCTGTGCATGGAAGGGCAGGACCAGCAGGCAGGAGGAATGTGCAGGAGCAGAGCTAGGAGGGTCTGGAAGCAGCCTGAACAGTCTGGGAGCACAAATGCATGTAGCATACTCAGGAGCCAGGAAGAAGGCAGTTTTCCATTTATGAGCTGATTTATTAAGATCTTAACAGCTTCTTAAAAAGCAGCAGCAGCTACTATTTTATCTCTCACAGGCAACTTTTATAGTTAACAGTGAAGCATGCCCAGAACTTTCAAAGTCTAGCACAAAACTCAGAAGCCACAAAGAAAAAGACTAGTGCACTTAAATCCATGAAGACTAGGGGCACCTGGCTGGCTCAGTTGGTAGAGCATGCAACTCTTGATCTCACAGTTGTGAGTTTGAGCCACGTGTTGGGTGTAGAGATTACTTAAAAATAAAATATGGGAGCCTGGGTGGTTCAGTCAGTTAAGCATCTGACTTCAGCTCCGGTCATGATTTTGCAGCCACATGGATTCAAGCACCACATCAGGCTCTGTGCTGACAGCTTAGAGCCTGGAGCCTCCTTCAGATTCTGTCTCTCCCTCTCTCTCTCTGTCCCTCCCCTGCTCATACTCTGTGTTTCTCTCTCACACACAAATAAACAAACATTAAAAAACAAACTTAAAAAATAAAGTAAAATCTTCAAGGGGAGCCTGGGTCAGTTAAGTATCCAACTCTTGGTTTAGGCTCAGTTCATGATCCCAGAGTCGTGGGATCGAGCACCGTGTTGGGTTCCATGCTGAGTGTGGAGCCTGCTTAAGATTCTCTCTGTCTCTCACTGCACCTCTCCCCAGCTTGCACACACACTCTCTATCAAAAAAAAAAAAAAAAAAGTATACTTGATTGTGGGTTTAAATAAATAAATTAAAACTTTTAAAATTTTAATTGTGGTAGGGGCGCCTGGGTGGCTCAGTCAGTTAAGCGTCAGACTTTGGCTCAGGTTGTGATCTCACGGTTTGTGGGTTCGAGCTCCACGTCAGGCTCTGTGCTGACAGCTAGCTCAGAGCCTGGAGCCTGTTTCAGATTCTGTATCTCCCTCTCTCTCTGACTCTCCCCTGCTCACTCAGTCTCTCTCTCTCTCAGGAATAAATAAAACACTTTAAAAATTTTTTTAATTTTAATTGTGGTAAAATACACATAAAGTTGGGACACCTAGGTGGCTCAGTCTGTTAAGTGTCCAACTTCAGCAAAGGTCATGATCTCATGGTTTAGGAGCCTGGAGCCTGCTTCAGATTCTGTGTCTCCCAATCTCTCTCTCTCTCTCTGCCTTTCCCCACTTGTGCTCTCTCTCTCTCACACAAACGAATAAACATGGATGGAGCTACAGAGCATGTTTAAGTGAACTAAGTCAGAGAATAGACTAATACCATTGGTTTCACTCATCTGTGGAATTTAAGAAACAAAACAAAGGAGCAAAGGAGGAAACTGAGAGAAGCCAAGAAAAAGACTCTTAATTATAAAGAACAAACTGAGGGGAGGTGGGTGGGAGGATGGGTGAAATAGGTAGAGGGGATAAAGAGTACACTGAACACAATGAGCACTGAGTAATGTAGAGAACTGCTGAATCACTATATTTATTGTACACCGGAAACTAATATAACACTATATTCACTATACCAGAGTTAAAATTTTTAAAAATTAAAAAAAAAAAAACACCAGAGAGCCAAAGTTTTCTTCTAAGTATTGGTGAATTTGAAGTAGGGGTTAAAAATTTTCCCACAGGGAGAACTTGCTGGCTGTGAGTTCAAGCCCCACATTGGGTGTAGAGATTACTTAAAATCTTTTTTTTTTTTCCAACTGTTTTTTATTTATTTCTGAGAGACACAGCGTGAGCAGGGGAGGGTCAAAGAGAGAGGGAGACACAGAATTTGAAACAGGCTCCAGGTTCTGAGCTGGCTGTCGGCACAAAGCCCGACGCGGGGCTCGAACCCACAAACCGTGAGATCACAAACTGAGCTGAAGTCGGATGCTTAACTGACTGAGCCACCCAGGTGCCCCAAAAATAAAATCTTTAAGAAAATAAAATATTTGGGGTGCCTGGGTGGCTCAGTCAGTTAAGCATCTGATTCTGGATTTCATCTCACGTCATGATCTCAAGCCCCTAATCAGGCTCTGCACTGGGCATGAAGCCTGCTTAAGATTCTTCCCCTCTCTCCTTCCGTCCCTCCCCTGCTCACACTCACTCTCTCAAGAAAAAATACTTATTAAAAACATTACAAAAATAAATAAATAAAATAAAATATTCCCACAAAGATGACACTGGGCCCAGATAATTTTACAGGGTATGATCTACCAAACTTTCAAGTAACACATTACCCTGAGCTTACATACCAAAAGCAGACAAAAATATTATCAGAAAAGAAAATAACAGGCCAGATCCATTCATGAATATAGATGTGAAACTCTTACATAAAATACTAGCAAACCAAATCTAGCAGTGCATTAAAAAAAAAAAAAAAAATGCAAGGGGGGTGCCTGGGTGGCTCAGTCGGTTAAGGGTCTGACTTTGGCTTAGGTCATGATCCTGTGGTTCAGGAGTCTGAGCCCTGCGTTGAGCTCTGTGCTGAAAGTTCAGAGCCTGGAGCCTGCTTCAAATTCTGTGTTTCCCTTTCTCTATGCTTCTCCCCGCTTGTACTGTCTCTCTCTCAAAAATAAATAAAACATTGAAACAAACTTTTTAAGATAATAAATAATGACATCGTTGGATTCACCAGAAAGTCAAGGATGGTTTAATATTAGAAAAGTCATGAATGGGGGGGCGCCTGGGTGGCTTAGTCGGTTGAGCGTCCAACTTTCGCTCAGGTCACGATCTCACGGTTCGTGGGTTCGAGCCCCGCGTCGGGCTCTGTGCTGACTGCCAGCTCGGAGCC